TCATTGGCTCAAGGTACTTTATTATAGATAAAGATTCATAGTCAACATATATTCCTAACCTTCTTTGATGACCCATCTTAGTGCGTTGTGGTGGAGCAATAGGAACATACACCGCACATCCATAAATTCTAAGATGAGAAATATTTAGTTGTTGACCAAAAACTAATTGCAAAGGGGATAACATATGATAGCTTGTTGGTCTTATGCGAATAAGTGTTGCAGCATGCAAGATTGCATGTCCCCAAGTAGAAATTAGAAGTTTTGATCTCATTAGTAATAGTCTTGAAATTAATTTAAGGCGCTTGATCAATGATTCAGCAAGTCCATTTTGAGTATGTACGTGTGCTACAGGATGCTCAATATCAATTCCAATAGACATACAATAATCATTAAAAGCTTAAGATGTAAATTCATCAGCATTATCAAGGCGTATTTTCTTGATTGAATAATCAAGAAAACGAGCTCTTAACTGAATTATTTGTGCCAGTAATCTCACAAACGCCTGGTTGCGAGTTGACAATAAACAAACATGTGACTATCTCGTTGACGAATCAATCAAAACCATAAAATATCTAAATGGTCCACATGATGGGTGTATTGGTCCACAAATATCACCTTGTATACATTCTAAAAATATGATAGATTCATTTCCAATTTTAGCTAATGATGGTCGACTAATTAGTTTTCCTTGAGAACAAGCAACACATAAAAAATTATTTGATTGAAGAATTTTTCAATGAATATCCACATGAATTTTCAATTATTTTTGCTGGCTTTTCAATGAATGTCCACATGAATTTTCAATTATTTTTCGCATCATTATTGATCCAGGATGGCCTAATCGTTCATGCCAAATAAAAAATTATCATGATTTGTAAACTTCTGGTTTACAACAATGTGTGTTTCAATTATATTTATATGTGTAATATAAGCCAGAAGAAAAAGAAGGTAATTTTCCTAACACACATTTTTTATTTGAAATAATTTTTATGAAATATATGTATTCTTCTCTTCCTTCATTTGTTGTTTCAACATGATATCTATTTTTGTGGATATCTTTGAAACTTAATAAGTTTCTATGAGACTTAATGTAGTATAATCTACTAATAATGTGTAATTTTGTTCCAGCAGGTAATAATATATTAGCTCTACTGGCACCTTTAATAATTTTTATACTAACAGATATAGTACTCACATTAGCTTGTTGCATCACTAAATGAGAAAAATATTTTTTATTTTTGAGAATTGTGTGAGTTGTTGCACTATCAATAAGACATATGTCTTTATTGTTGGTGTCGTCCATAAGAACATTCATTCTTCATTGCAAAAATAAATAATAAAAAAATAAATTAGATACTAAAAAAATTGGTAAAAATTTATTATTTTATTATTATTTATTTACAATGACTGTATTAAAATTTAATTTAAATAACAACTATTTCAATGAAAAAATAACTATAATACATAACAATTTTTTTAATCATAATTATTTTATTTTTATTTTTTTAGACGAAGAGAATACATTAAACATAAATTAACATATAGAAAAAAAAACATAATAACTCAATAATAATAAAAATAATAATAAAATTATTTTAAACACTACCATATGATTATAAATTAAATCACTAACAAAAATAATAATAGATCACTAATGAGATGGTCATTTTTTTTTATCTTGATCAGCAAAATGATTAGCAATATCTAAGTGGATAACGTCCATATGATCATAAAATTATTATCATTTTTACAAATAAAATTTGTCTCTATCTTTTTCCCTTATTTTTAAGTGATTCTTGAAAAAGATCAATAAAATGCTTTGGTGTACGACAAATACATTATCAGTGACCTTTGCTTCCACAATGCATATGTTTTTCATATTTTCACCACTTTGGGTACCTTTATCCTTTTCAATTTTCTCACTATTTTTTCACTTCTGGTGTGAAAAATGTATATTTCTAATTATCGCAACGACCATGTCCATAACCATTACCACGATAGTAAGTTTGTGCATAGTTACAATAGTCACAATTTGTTACATTCACTTTTGGGAATGGAACAATGTCAATTAGACAAGGTTCATGATTTTTATCAAAAATTTATTATTTTATTCAGGCACAAGGAAACAAAAATAAATTTAGAATATTTTTGAATCATTTTTCACGATATTGCTGTTGCAGGAGCACATGCGTGAAAAGTTGAAAATGTTTTTTCTTCTAACGTATACTCATCGAAAATCTTTTCTCCACACAATGTTAATTAAGATTACAATAAATAAATAATGATATATTTTTATAAGAAAAATAAAAATGAAATAATATCGTACCTTTATTTAACAATATTCATTTCTTGAAAAATGTGTACTAGAGTCTCGTGTTGATAATGTATTATAAAATGAATATAAAATTATAAGGAAGAATAGAGAGAAGAATATAGAGAAGAAGAGAAAATCTCAATTTCATTTTCCGTATCCTCAATACAAATGAAACACTTATTTATAGACTTAAAATTATAATCGAAGAATCGTATCTCTTTAAATAAGAATTAAACAAAATAGTTACAAAATCGTACGTTACAAAGAATAAAGTGGAGTTATAAATATGGACATTCACTCGTATAATAATTTATAACAAGAAGTACCTATTTGATTCATAGAAAAATTTAGAATACTTATATCCTATTAGAAAACTTACACGCTAAATCTTCCTTTTTACAATAAGGTAAGGACCTAAATCATGATTAAATAAAGTATCCTAGTATATAAAGAGGTCATTCAGGAGCCAACTCCCTCTATATTACAAGTATATAACAATATAACATATAAACTAAGTGTTGATATCATGTAGTTCAAATAGAAAACAAATATAGAACGTCAAAACAAAAGAAAAATGAGTGAGATTTTGTAGTAAAGGGTGGTTACAGATTATAAATTCCCAACTTTTATTTTTCTTTTAGCCGACTCTTTGTATATTAGTTGAACACCCTTGTTGCAACAGATATATATGCATAATCAAATGAATTATTAATTAATCTTTTATGTATTTTCTTTTTTAGACTTGAACCTATTTTATATAAAGTTCCCAATAAATACTTATAAAACTAAAAAAAAATTAATAATAAAATAAATCAAACTCTTCATTAAGATAAAATCAACTTATGCTTTATTTTTTTTTTAGAATAATTCTCTTATTTAATTTCTTTATTATTTTTTTATTTTAAAGTCTCACAAACAATTTTTTTTAGTTTTAATCTTTATATTATAGCAAATTATTATTTTTAGTAATTTTCACTTATATGGTCAACCAAAAATTAACATTTATAACCTCTTATTGGATCAAACCAGAAATAAAAACTTAAGAAAAGAAAACTTATGAAAATGTAAGGAAAAATTATTTTAAAATATTAAAATCAAAATATGTTTTTTTATAAAATTATAATAAAAATCTATTGTGCTAAAGTAACTACATTTTGTTTAATTTGTGTGAATATATTCAGTTATTTTTTTAGTTGTTGCGCATATTATTTTTTAATTAGCTTTATGTAATTTTGTACTTTCAAAGATTAACTAAAAAAGTAATCTTCTCAAGATAACTCTTTTTATAATTTCTCTTTCTCCTTTTATAGTATTTAATTTACTTTTCTCAATAATTTATAATCTAATTTTGCACGTATAATAACGTTAAAACTTAGAAATTAATTATATTTTTACTTATTTATCACATTATATACTCTAAATAATAAGTATTAAATTAAAAATGATATTTTAAAAATAAATTACTAACATTTTACTAAAGATCAGTAATATATATCTCAAAAAATAAACAAAATATTTAGATAATCACTAAATAATTTAATTACTTATTTACTTATTTAATAAACTCTCATCGTATAGAGCCTTTTGGTAGTGTCATGCTCATGAAACTAATTGAAATAAATATATAAAATTTATTGAAATAAGCTATTTTTTTTTTATAAGTTCACCTAAATCGATTAATTTTAGTATTGATTAAAGATTATTAATCAAATTTATTGTATTACTTTAATACATATTTACATTTCAATTTTTTTTAAAAAAAGTAATAAAATATTATTAAAATATTTTTATTTTTAAAAAAACTTAATATTAAAATTTGCTTTAAGCCTACCAAAAGTTTAATCAACCGTATACTTTATGGCTCAAAAAAGTTACGAACACCTAAAGTATCCAATAAACAAGGATGAGAGAGAGAGAGAGAGAGAGAGAGTTACAAACTTGTCTGTATTTCAACGTTATAACAAGTATAGTAATTTTTTTTAAAAAAAAACTCTTATTTCCTTGCTCCTCCCACTTTTCTCTCTCTTATCAATCTCACCTCCACCTCTGATGACTCTACTTTTTGAATTTCATTGCCAACTAATTTAGGAAAATAGTCCTTGAACTCAACATGGAAGTGTATTTTCCGAGAAATTTGAAAGTTCAAATGATTTCTTCTCCATTTGCATCTTCATATCTTCCCCCGATTGAATCCTTTCTTGTTCAACACAAAATTGACTCCAAACTTAACTGACTTTTGCAAGAATCTTGATTTCTTTCAAGAAGATCATACTCATATATCAAACTCATTTCTAATTGCTAACAAAAGGCCAATGGAGAGCGACTAATTCATCATATATACCCTTGCTTCTTCAAGGTAAATCTGTCCAAGTCCATATCATATTTAGCTAATACACCTTATCATCCAAAGAAAAAATAAATGCTATATATTTATTCAAACCCAAGGGTTATATATATATGTTAGAAATATTTTATCCTCTTACTATTACAATTGACTTACAAATTATTTTACTTAATTACATAAAAATGACACATATATTCAAAAGAAAAAAATTGTTAAAAATAATAGTTAGTTAATATTTTTTTAAAAGTCACATGTCATTTTCTGTGAGTAGAAAAATTTGTATGCTGAAACAGTAGAAAGATACAACATGTTTCTATCTATCTGTACGTGTGTGCATGTTACCTAAATTTGCCTGTCTTCATTGAAGCTGTGGCTGAGGCTTCTACTATTATTTCGGCTTACAGCTCTAAGTTTTAATTCTCCTCTGTTGGTTGTCATCTCATCCAATATCTCTGCATCATAATAATCTTCTGAACTCTTTTCGCTGTCACCATCACCTGGCTCTTTATCCTGATCAAGCATTTTTAAGATTACATTCAGAAGTGTTATAAACATATAACTGATTTTGTATCAAGAAGTGAACAATAAAAGTACCCTTAGCGATATATTATGTGCAACATGTGGAGCACCACCAATTTCTTCATACTCAGCAGCATCAAGTTCCTGAAGATGGTTAGGCTTGAATAGCTTTGGAAGCAAATGCTCTCTTATAGTTATGAGTAAGAAGAAAGGTAGCGGAAATAGTATTCCTCCAATAGGTATCCATGTTACTCCAAAACATATGAGAAAATACACAAATTGTAAGATTGTGAATGCAGCTATGGCCTTGAATGGTACTGACTCTATAAATGAGGCATGTGATCCTTGCAAAATTCTGCCAGAAAAAAAACACATATTAGAACAGTGACAAGTCAACATGAAATTAGCTTATTAAATTAAAGTAAAGGAAAATGTCATAAGTTGGATACCAGCTTATTAAACACATATTATGAGTTATACTCTTAATTTATTAATTTTCATTCATATTTTTATATTTTTAATTTAATAGAATGTATTTAAAAAAATGTGTTTCTAACACTCCTCTTGTCTAATATAAAAAAAAAGTATTTCCATCACAAAGAAAAGACAACTTTGAAATTCATGAACCAATATACCAATTTAAAAACAATTGTGTTTGATCAAAAGTTTACTTATAAAAATACTTACTTGTAGCGCCGGTTTGGAGAGATGAAGAGAAGCAATATTCTTTCCCAGAATTGATTTCCTGGGAGACTATCAATTGCCATGTAAGCAAAATATCCCCATAGAACTGAAGTAGGTATTCTTTTGATAACAGAGATAGCTAAAATTGATACAGCAACCAGAAGAGACTGTAATAAGTTACTCATTCTTTGCTCATTGACCCGAACAGGTAGATAGGCATCTATGTGTTTGTCAGGATCAAAATTTTCCTTCTCACCTTCTTTTTCATTAGATTTCATTACAGCCTCCTTCAAATTCTCCAACTCCTTTTCCTAAACCAAATTTAAAAACGGCAATCAAATTGCTCTTAAATATGCACGCGCGTGCACACACAAATATGTATCAAGTTAGCTACGTATACTTACAGTGGGCGCTGTATCCATTTCTATAAACACAGCTTGCATTTTTCCATATAATTCAGAGTTACTTCCTTGTTGTTTAATGCACTCTTTGGCACTTTTTATCACCTTCTTTCGAATCAACTACAAATTGATCCAGGTAATATATATATCAAATATATTTTTGAGTTAATGATTTAGATTTAAGGGTATTTATGTAAAATTAAGATGATACTTACCTGCCTCCTAAGAACTGCCAAACTCTTTGTATGCATGGGGGATTGAGGAAGGACTCCATTTGATGGAGGAAGGCCAAGAACACCACAAATTAGAGTCTAAAGATTAAGAGGATAGGATGGGTCAGGCAACTTGTAGAATTTATACAAAAAGAAGCTTTAGGAAGCAAGATTAATTTTAGAGAAAATAATATACCATTATTCCAAGTAGGAAAATATCGTAATGGTAGGCAGGTGGTTTCTGAAGGTTATATTCCTTCTGTTGAGCCATCTTAGAAGCTACACTATGATCAAAAAAGTATAAACTAGCTATCATCACAGCTGGAATAAGTGCCGCAAAGATATAAACCAAAGGTACCTTCCCCATATCCTGCAATTAGCAATTGCAATATACAACGTTGAACATTCATCTTCTCCACGATCATAGTGCAAGATAGCATGATGAAATCATCAGAAGTAAGAGAACAACATTTTTTGTACTACCATCAAAGGGACTAATTCCATCTCATAAGAAGATAAAATATAAAATATAAGTTCAATACCATAAATGTTTTTAGTATTGTTCTCCAATTAAATTTAAAATTTACCTCAGTAATATGCACTTATCTTTATTACGGTTATCGTCAAAGTAAAATTTTAATTTTAATGAAAGAACAATAACGTAGAAAAACCTAAAAAAAAATTTGTGTATAATAATAGTACCTTCACAACTGTCCAGTGGTAGAGAGATGCAGATTCCCAAGGAAGTGGACAAATTAGCCTTCTAGGAACACTAGATGGAACTTTGCCTGGTACTGTATAAGATAGTCCAGTCCAAAACACTACCATCATTGATACCCCATAATCTGCAATGAAACCTCGTAGCCACCCTGCAAAAAGTACACAAGGAAGATAAATATAATGATAAAAGAAACTAAGTCTTACATAAAATGTTGAAAACATTTTGTGTGTGGTTTATTTGGTATATAGATATTTCAAGTTATTTACCTGTGCCATATGTCCAGGATCTTGCTCTTCTACTTTTCATGGCAGTGAGAAGCACTCCAAAAGAGAAAATGATTGCAAGTAATCCATTTGTATACCGCCATTGGAATTGATATTCCTCTAACAATGGATTTTCAGCCTTTGGTATGCCAAACTCGCTTATAAGTCCCTACGAATCAAACAATTTTCAAGTTGAATCTTGTAGTGTAAAATTTACAATATTCCTGAGAAGTAATCAATGTAAAAGAAAAAAATCAGTATAAAAACTATCTTTTTATAAATTATAAATAATTCATATTTTTCTATTTTTTTAAAAATTTTGAGAAACTTTTTTATTTGAATAGTTTCTCTAAAGTTTCAGGAAACAAATTATTTCTAACATGATAAAAATTTTATTTATTTTTCATACTGAATTTTTTCTTATATAAAAACTTCTCCAAAAATATACTTAAAATATACCCTACGTTGTTATCAAGAGTTAGTATTATACTTTAATCGCCTCTTGGAAGAAAAGGACAGTAATTAGCATGCCAAACATTTCCTCTGCAATTCTTGTGAACCTACTGATAATTGTGCACGCGTTAAAAACTGCAAGCATTATAAGCAAGAATGCTGTCCATACACAAACCCTACAACAGAATTGAACATTGAAGTCAGACATATATGTACTACAATTCAACTATTATATTTAAAAAACAATTTTGTTAACATCATTTTTAAGATTTGAGTTTAAGCAGGTTAAAGTATTAAACTTTTATTTAAAAAATATTTATTACACTATATTTTTAATGCAATAAATATTTTTAATTAAATTTTATTATTACTTTGATGTTTAAACTCAATTTTAGTGACTAACATTTGTTTGAACAGTGAATGAAGTAGCTAGATGAGAAAGTAAAAACATAATTATAGCGTTAAATGCCACACATACCAACCAGCCCAAGGCAAAAAGAGCTTGGCACCTAGTTCTGGCCTATCCTTGCAGAATTGAAATAGAATAGTGTACATTATAACAGTTGGTTCAGCAACACCTAGAATCAATAAAGGTTGACCACCAAATATAGACTGGATAATTCCACAAATAGCAGTTGATGCCAGTGTTTCCGCTGTGCTCAAACTTCCATCTGTAAGATCATAATATGGATGCTCAATTATAGAACAACAAACATAATATTAGCTACAAAAAGAATATCTCTATTGTAAGTGTGTATATCATCATCCTTAAGTGTTTATATTATTACTTTTATATATTTAAATGATTTGTTACTAAAATATCTTAATTTTTTTTCTCTTATAATCATGGTAATAATAGGAGTATTTCACATACTTTTGTTTAAAATATGGGTGACATTAAACACATAAAAGTGACAACATATATCCCCTATATGGTTGAAAGTAAACTCTAGCTCCATGTTTTTATCTTCAAGGATTTGAGGCTACTTCAAAAGTTTTACCTGTATCCCTATAAAGTTGCTCTCCAAAAGCAATAACAGGAAGAGCAGAAGCGAAGAATATGTAGAAAGTTGGAGCAAGTATCCTAGCATTACTCAAAGAACCATAAATTAAAATTGAGCACAGACAACACATGTAAAGAGAAGAGGTAAGTGTCATTAATATGTAATGTGTTGCTCCCCCAGAAGGCCAAGATAAACAAGAATTACCTAGCGCCAGAACAGATTGCACAAGCCCAATCTTGTTTATAGCACTTAACTCTTCCTTTGACATCTTGAATTATTCCGCTAAATGGTCCCATAGCGCTGATGCAAGAGATTAGACATAAATTCATAAATTTCAAAAATTTAGTTATATTTGAGAAAATTGTGATGTCTTGAAATGAATGAACTATTAGCATATTTCAGTGTGTTAGCATTTATTTAAAAAAAATGTTATTAACGTATACTTTAATACATTTTTTAACATATTCAGTATTATTGGATAAAATTTATGTTACAAAAAGTATTTAAAAGAAGTGTTATTAAAAAATTTTCTTAAAAAGAAAAGAGAGAAAATAAGGCACAATATAAGTGCAATCAATAAATCATTACAATTGCTACAAATACAGTACAAGCAATATATATATATATATATATATATATATATATATAGATAAACATCTAAAATAAAGGAATTTTCGAGAATTCACTTGTCCTTAAACAATATAAAATAAAGAAATTATATAAATTTGTGGTATGAAACAGACATGATATATATTTTCTCCAGCATCCTAAGACCGGTGTAGCTTATACAAGTGGGATAAGGTTTTGAACTGACGTCTACTACTATAAGTGCAATTATACTATCTACAATTGCAATTATGGCCCAACATTCGCATTTGCTTTCATTTTTCTGCATTTTTTGTAATCACGAGTCGAATGCAACCCCAATTTAAATCCTTAATGTCAGTGGTATAATAAATGATAAAATAATAAAAACAATGAGAGTAAATTACAAATTAAGCATCATGGTTAACTCTCACCACCATCAATCATTATAAATCTCTTTTCTTGTAATCATTAATAAATCTCTTTTCAATTATTTTTAATAAAGCTTCAATCGAAAAGGACACGTAAAATGGGTGCTCCTCGCAATAAAGAACCCAATGAAGAAGCCTTCGTGCAACAAAATACATGTACATTACAGATTAGAAAATTCCAAAATAACAAATAAAACCAAACGATGAAACCAAAAGTTATATATATATATATATATATATATATATATATATATATATATATAAAAGATGCACACACATAGATGACACAATATAAAGAAGAAGAAAAGGGAATGTTAAAAAGAACGCACGTTAAATGAGGGCCCAAAATGGACCCTTAGGATTTGGAGGAACAAGGAAATGCAAAGTGAGTATAAGATAATGGTACAATAAGGAGGGAGGATCAGGAGGCTTAGTGTAATAAAGAAAAATGTTTAAAGAAATTAAGAGTTGCTGGAGAATCCAGAATACGAAGGGTGTGACTCTTTTTGGATGGTTGTTCTCTCTCTAACGTGCGAAGGGTGGAGGAGAGAGAGAGAGGGGGGGGGGGGAGAGAGAGAGAGAGAGAACACACAAAGGAGGAAGGAATAGCCAGAGGCATAGAAGGGGGAGAAGGGTGGGTGGCATGCATGCAAAAAATAGAAAGGTTGAAAAGGCAAATGAGCGATTTTTGTGGGGTGTTGTTACAAGGACAGATCCATTTCCCATTTCCTACTATTTCGGAAACATTGATGATGTCGTATGCTTCTACCTTGGTTGCTAGATTTCATCCTTCTTTATGGACTTCTGAGGAAAATTGTCTCCTTCAAATTGAACTAATATTATTAGTGCATCCTGCTTGCACCTCGGCTTCTCAACATTTCAATTATTTTAATAAAAGAAAAAAAAAAGTATAGTCATCTCATTAATAATTTCAACATTTAATATACTTTATATGTTTTTGACCAAAAATGTACTCTTATCTTTTCAACTATTTTATAGTTTTCTAATTTCTCATCCTATTAATTTTTGTTCAAAGTTCGTTTTTAAGTTATTGAGTTTTTTAATATTAAATATTTTTTACTTAATAACTTTTATGTAGGCTAATTCTTTTAGTGTTTTATCATAATTGGCAAAATACATATATGATTAATTGTGTCAATAGAAGTAACATTCAAGAAAGTTTGTACTAATTTAATAACTTTTAGAGTATTAAATTAAAAACTTAAAAGAAAAGGTTAACAAATGAAATTCAAAACTATATTTAATATAAGATGAAAGCATGCATTTGATCTAAAATAGATTATAAATTTAATTTAATGATACATAGCATACTATGTATTGATTCACATTATCATATATTAATTTATTATAAATTATTTTCACAACTGGATAATTGTCCTATATTACTTGTTATTGGAAAATACTTATTTATTACACAAATTTATTTAAAGATGAGAAAAATATAAATTCAATATGTAAAAAAATTAAATAATTTTTTATTAATGTATGATTTATTACAGATAATATTTTTAGAGTACTACATATATTTTTTATTAAGAGAAGTAATACTAATTATCAATTTTATTATCATGAGGTTATATGGTTAAAATAAATTCTGTTAAAGGTAATTACACTAAGGTAGCTTATTAAATACATTATATACTTTTTAATATAATTTCTCTTTTTCATCCTATTCATTATTAATTCTTTTGGTGACGTTATTATTGATAATGCATAGTATAATTACTTGTGCGTAATAAAATATGGCTCGCAGTTTAGATAAATTTCTCTATAAGAGTAAAAAAATTAAGTGATAAAATGACAAAAAAATTATAAATTAAAATTAATTTATATTTCTTTATCTTTTAAAAATTACTCTTATTTAAATTTTCTAAAACTTAAAGAAATAAATTATTTTAAAACTATTTTTATGTTATTTTTTGTATAAAAATTTATTCACAAACTCACTTATAACTGATGTCATCATCAATTGTGTTACCAGTCATGTTGAAGCTTCAATAATTGATAATTAATTATGTCAATTTTGTAATTGTTGATCTTGTCTATAATACTATTTATAAAGGATTGAGTATTGTTATTTTTTACGTACTTTTATCTCACATTTATTATTAAACATTTTAATATGTATTATGAATTTAATTAAGTAAATAATCTCTTAGTTCATTTAGATATTGAATTGGCATATTATTGTTTGCATTGAAATACTTTTTTCCTTCTTAATTTTAAGTATTTTTTTCATGGTTAACCCTTAAAATTCATTTAACAAATCCATATATATGTTAAAGAATTTGATTCATCTGAGATGTCAGTTAAACAATTTTTATGTGTAAATAATTACTCATTATTTATTTTAGACACCTATCACTAACAATATCTTTGAAGAGTTATTAATGACTTAAAAGTTAGTCTATCTATTTATTTATTTATTATTTTTATTCTTTTGCTATTGTTAGTCTATTTATTAATTTAACAAGTATTACTCATGTTCATTTCGGCTTAAATTTTAAAACTATTGTATATGTTTGAATTAGCTAAAAAAATAAATTTAAATAAAAAAAATAGTTATATCTATAAGTTATTATTAAAATAATTAATTAAAAATAATATTTTATTTAAATATTTTGGATGAAAAATGATTTTAAAATTATTTATTGTGTATTCTATATAATCACTCTTTCTATATCGAAATTGCAAGAAAAAAAATATAAAATTATGTGTAATAGCTAGTCTTGCATTTAAAAAATAATTATTCAAAATCAATGAGAAAGTAAAAGTCAATTAAAAAATTAATAACGTTTAATCATAAGCTCTATAATTTCACTTATTTTAAATATAATATTTCCTTTATAATAAATTATAATTTAATTTTTGCAAATCATCCAAACAAATATGTATTTTTTAAATTTTGTTACAAAATAAAAAATAATAATAATCTCATTGAAACACATAATTACTTTTATTCAAAATTCTGTAAATAAATAAATGTTTTTCTAAAATAAGTTAAACTAAATACATATATGCTTATTAAAATTTTATTTTAAAAAATATGTGAAGTAATATTTAAAATTTACTATAGAATATTTTTCCTCTCAAGTGTAATAACAATGAATGTGTATCATTGTAAACAAAACTAAATGGAAGGTAAAAAGATAAAATGTCAAAATCATAGTTCACCTCATTGAGTTTAATATTCCTTCCTTGATTTTTTTTTCATTACAAGCCTTGATTAAAAATCATTTTAACCATCTAAAAAAAAGAGACATATTAAGTCTAATCAAGAATGAGTTTAAAATTAAGTTTAGAGTAGCATCCAGATTTTATTTATTTGAGAACAAACAATGTTCTAAATTTGTTTAACAATTAAAATTTTATTGACTGAAATCTACCATGGATTGATGAATATAGGAGAAATCAAATATTTATTTCAAAACCGAATAATTTCACATTTGTACAAAATCAAATAACACTAATATTTAAATCATTGATGTTTTAAAATGTGAACTTGCATTTTATTATTTTAAAATGTTTTATAAAGTGAATTTCTTATTTACAATAAAGGTGATGCGCTTTTTTTATTATATAGCAGAACATTGATGTTAAGTATTTAATTTTGTAATTATATTTTTATTTGATAGTGATTTTAATTAATCTTCTTAATCATACTTTTTATTGTTATATTATATTTAATAAATCCAATAAATATTATATTAAATGAATATAATATTTAATAACATTATTTAAGTTCACTATTTATTATATATAATAAATATAGGATATAATATTATTGCGTAATCAATTTTACTTTTATAATAATGTTATTGATGAACATGCAATTATGTAAGTGACAGATTGTCAAATTATTTAATTGTGTGCTTGTTTTATTTTACATTAGAAATTAATTTCCAATTTCATTAACATATGAAATATAGAATTTATTGCTAAAATTAGTTTTAACATATGCTTTAATTATATTTAATAGCTTAAATTTTTATTTTTTTATCAGCAACTGAAATTATATTAATAAGTGAGTACAATAGCTACTTAAACCCTTTAAAAAACAAAATACCTGAACTAATGTACCATAAAACAACACAACTAAAAGCAGTTCTATTAATAAAAGAAGTTCAATTCAATAATAGTTATTTGTTTTAAGAAATTAGTCTCTAGTTATCTTGAGAAAATAAAAATCATTACTGAAAAGTGTTATAAAATTAATTCTTTGCTGATATGATAATTATTCATCCTTAACAATATCCAAACCAAATAGGCATTTAATGACAGTATTTAAGATTTTACAGTAATAATTAAGAAAATAGATAAAGGGTGGTTTAGGAAAAAAAGTGTTACTTGGTTTTCCTTCACAATCAAAGCAAAAGAGTAGAAGGCTTTGTTTCTGAGAAGCGAAGGGCACAGCAGAAGGAGTAGTTGAGTTGAAGAGAGAGATGTCAGGGAAAGGCGCAAAAGGGTTGATAACTGGTAAAACCCCATCATCTTCTAAGGACAAAGATAAGAAGAAACCCATTTCTCGCTCCTCAAGAGCTGGTCTTCAGGTTCTTCTATCTCCCTCTTTCCCTCTCTTTTTTTTTTTTTACTTTAAATTTGATTATTCTGTGTTGCCCATTTACCAAATGGTCGCAAGTTTTTGACTTTACAATGTTTTGTTTTGGATCCGCATGTTTTCAACATACTGTTGAGTTTTCTTTTTCTTTATTGTTTTTTTTTATGGGAAAAGGTGTTTTAGTTGATAGGAAATAGGGAAAGGACAATTAGGATTCTTTGGGTGCTCCGTTGGTTCCTTCCTATTGTAGGGATTTGGATTATATTTGCTGTGTACTTGTGTTCTGTTAAAAAACAAAGGAGTGGAAATTAGGTACAATTTTTTTACTCTGTTTTTTTATATGAAGAGTCTATAAAGTGGCTTTCATTCTCAAATTTTCAGTTTTTTCTCCGACCCAAGTGTACCCAAAATTTGGGAATTAGTGTCTGCTATTTCTCTGGCAATTTTTGTGTTGTGTTGTTGTGTGTGGTTTATTGGGAAGGGTTCAATCACCATTCTTTTTTTCACCTTGAACCAAAAGCAGATCTGAACCTTGGAGGAAAAAGAAGCTTGGAGGAAATCATGAAAATGGATCTTTTGATAACTAATGTCTTTGAAAATATGGCTTTGGATTGAGTCCATTAGCATCGTATGGTTCATGTGGCTAACCTCACTTAGAGGGATAAGGTTTTGTTGTTGTTGATGTATTCTTTTAGGTCATGGTTACCTTGTATTATGGCAATTTCTTCTAAACTTTAAATTCCATTTTGTTCAATTTCTTTAATTTTCTTGAAGTTTACTTATCTTACATGTGTTCTTTGAATGCTGGACCTTGTCTAGATTTCCCTAGTGAAGTTGGAGGCCAATTGCTTTCTGTAACGGTAAGAGGGCTTGTATTGTAATGTAAAGCTGGCACTTGTGCTGCAATGGTCCCTTACCTGTTTTTACATTCTTCTCCTACTACCTCTATTATGGAATTCTTTGTTTGGCATTTTTCGTTATTGTGTGGTGTTTTCTAGACTCTTGGACTAGCGCTTGTTTGCTAGTATTGATGATTTCTGTAGAGGTGAGACTAAATCTTTGTGTCAATGTGCAATCCATGATTTAGTGCATTTGGTGGAGTGTAGTATTTGTATCTTTGAGGTTTCTTGGACCCTTTTTTTGTTGATGTTGGTTGTGCCCGTGCCCTTGTCCTTTGACCAAGTTTTGTTTACGGATATAATGATTTTGGTAGAAGTACAGAGTTGAAATTTCTGTCAATGAGCAATCCATGTGCTACCATTCAGTGCATTTGATTGGCTTAGCAGCTGATTTGAGCTTAAGATGATCAGCTTCTATTACATGAAAAACACAGTCCATTTAAGGGTTTCCTTTCTTGTTTTGCAGAGTATACCTTATTTTCCAGCTAATTTCCTTCTCTTCACCTTATTGAATTCCTTCTTTTATTGAATTTCACCTGATTTGAATGTAGGGGCAGTGAGTAATCATAACTAATGTTGCAAGTGATTAATTAACGTTTTTCTTTGATTCTTGGATGGGTGTAGTATTGGCGCAAATCATGATGAACTTCGATTTGTGTTTAATGGTCCCATATTAGCATAAATGTAATCTGTTCAATGTCACCTTGAATATCTTTTGATACAGTTTCCAGTTGGGCGTATTCATCGTCTTCTGAAGTCAAGGGTGACAGCCAATGGAAGAGTTGGGGCAACAGCTGCGGTATATTCTGCTGCTATCCTGGAGTATTTAACTGCAGAGGTGTTGGAGTTGGCTGGCAATGCAAGCAAGGATTTGAAGGTGAAGCGAATTACCCCGCGACATCTACAGCTTGCTATCCGTGGAGATGAAGAACTTGATACCCTCATAAAAGGAACGATAGCCGGTGGTGGTGTTATTCCTCATATCCACAAGTCTCTTATCAACAAGTCTTCAAAGGAGTGAGAGCTCACAAGTTATTTCAATCAACGTGGGAAAAGACAAATTTTACTGTAAATTTTATAACTTTGAATTGTGGATAATTTGCTCCTTGCATTAGTTTGATTGAACTGTCCTTCCCCAGGAATCTGAAAATTTCTGATTTCTATATTTGAATTGTTTTAACTGACATGTTGACTTCTGTGCTATGGTACTGTATGCTAGATGGTTCTTGTCCCATTAAAGCTATTATTTGTGGTTTTTTTATTTTATGAACTACCTGACAATATTGGAAAAAAATGTGTGATCTGCGATTACATAGGCCCGATCAATTATTGTCATGGATATAAATTTTAAAATTTACAAAAAGAAACCATTAACACATGGTAAGATATAAGTGACCGAGATCATATGGTCTAAAATGCCTAGTAATTGTTCGACAATATTGATGGAAAGACTTTTGCTACCATTGACTAAATTGGAAGGATGCAGAGAGAATGTAACAGTATATTCGAAGAAAACTGAAGTTTGAACCTGGGGTGGGGAGGTTTTGTTCTGACTAACTCCAAAGTTGTTTCCATTGTGGCATGCAAATTTCAAGGGCAAATTACGTTCCAAAAATATGTGCAACTTGAATTTTGAATCATGAAGCTTGACAATATTATAAAGATGTAATTCTTGTTAGTCTCCTGCTATATGTTTAAGAAATTATATTCGAATTTTTAAAAGAACTACTAAAAAGGTATATGATTAATTTTTATAATTAATTTGCGTGCACACATTGACAATAAAAATAGATATTCATACTAGAATCAAAGTTTCAAAAATTCATAAAATTCCCATCAAATGTGACTACAATCTCAGTACTTACCTCGTTGATGTGATGCCTTTGCAATGAAGGAAACCGTTTATTCAAAGTTAAAGAATCATAAAACTGTTTCAAATACTGTAAATTACAATCATCAAAATCAATTAGTTTCATAAAATGGGGACAGAGAAAGAGTCATGCCTAATCCGCCCGTAAAGTACGGTCAAATCGACAATAGTAATGAAAACTACAGTCTCACGTTTCCCCCACCCGAAAAGTAAAAACTGTTCAGTTATATACTAGTAATTATTATTTTGTGAAAAAAAATACAATGTTTACGTTGAGCGTCATGTAATACACTCTCGTGATAAAAATAAGTAAATATGCATCATTATTCTGGACAAAGACACAAAAGTTTAGCAAATATCACCCATTCCAATTTGATTAGTTGAATAACTGAGTTCAATGCAGCTTGTTTAGAAAAAAAAAATTATTCACTTATTTTCTTAAACTTTGTGAGCGCTTTTAAAAAGTAAGTAACTAATTTTTAAATAATATCGACCAACCTTTCATGCACTAACGGCTCAAAAAATCATATATCCCATATATCATGAGCTAGGGGTTTTCAAATGTACTGGACTGACTTGACGAGGAATATAAATTATTAATTTACAACGAAATATGCCTCAGACTTGGCAGAACCTTGAACTTCCCTATAACATAAATAAATACTGAAGGGGGAAATTTTGGCAAGGGGTTTTGGATTCTCTCACTTGAAAAGAGTAGTGTTTCCACCATTGATCAGAAATAACACCCACACTTTTCACTTGACACCCTTTTTCACTTGAAATAATTCAAATCTGGCCATCCCTTGGCTATTTAATATAGGTGCCAGTGTCGGTACCATCTTTCAAGAAAGCCAATTCGGAAACCAAGGCAATATGGTCACTACCCCATTTCTGTACAATAGAAGGGCAAAGAAAAACTTCCAAGTCAGAAGTTACACATCTTAAGCAACATTTGCAAAATCAAGGAAAGCAAGTCCAATTAAGTTATGAGCATTTATGGTAATCATGGAAATCTAAATTGTATTAAAAAATGATCTAGTCAAGCAACGATACGAGCATGTCCCACCCTCTTTACATAAAACTTCTATTAGTAAATGAATCCGGTTTTGAAGTCACAGACTCACAGCCTTACAACAAAAGCCTCTTATCTGAGATGTGGGTAACACAAAAGGATAATGAGGGAAAGAAAACTCCCAAAAAAACCCACACATAAACCCCATCCATCTGCAACCTCACACAAAAGCTGCCAACTTATTCTTACCTTTGTTGGGAATCCTGGAGTCCATTCCATGGCATGTTTAGGCATTGGAGCAAGAACTCTGATTGTTTGAAGACCTTTAGTTCGCCTGTGACAGATCAATGGAAAAAATGCATTCCTATCAAACTCCTTTTGATATTTGAAAGCATTCAAGTTTACAATCAATTCTTTCAAATGCTCATTAAAACTCAAATGCACTATCAGGAATGTTATTGAAAAAAATAACATCTTGCAACTACGAGAGCTTCAGCAAAGACACTATAATGGACTTAACGATATACTTCTTGTGATTATACAATTCAAAATTGAATAAGCACAAGAAAGCAAAACAGAAGCAGAAAAACTTCAAGAGCTTAGCACCTACCATATGTAGTCTACGGTGCCTGAGAAGCACCTATTATAACTGGTTACCAGGGGCTCTCCATGTGGGTCTCTGGTCCCTGAACAATCCTGCATGTATACAAAGAGTGGTACTTCTTAGTACAAATTGTGAAAATACAGCATTTAGTAAAGTGTAGCTTTTAAATTAGGTGTAAGATGTGTCAGCTTGTCACATAAAAGTAAAGCTAAAATGAAAAATATGCAGGAGACTCTTTTAGATCTACCATAGCTTCAGTGTATGTGCTCCTAAGTGATAAAGGATGCTCCAAGAAGGTGCACTCTGCATTTCCTGTTGCAGTTTCTATCTCCATAGGGGTCCATAATGATGGATTATAATAAGAAGTTTCCTCTGCATCAATAGATTTGAAAGTATCACTTGGAGACAAGTCATCCTCCACTTGATTGCTTTCTACAGGCACCACCAAGTTGTTGGAAGCAGAATCTAATTCCTCAAACTGATATGACTTTTCAAGATCTGATTTCATAGATGAGTCAAGATCAAGAGTAATTCCTTCAGAATTATGTAATGAAGATATGAAAGCATTATCATCTTCACAAATATTTTCACTGCCTATATTGGTTTTATCTGTCTCATCAAGGAATGATTTCTCTAGTTTTTCATCTAGTGGAACGTCAATGTTGGACCATTGATGAGATTTGTCAGCCAGATATGAGGTTGATAAGCTGTTATTTTGGTCATTATCAGTGACCTCACAAGATGAGATATCTCCATACTCTGTTTGAGGGGCTTCAAATGCATTGGAAACTGAAATCTGGCTGGATGGTTTAGTTGAAGAAATTTCTACATTGACAACATCTGTTGACCCAAGATCAATCTTCACCCTGGAAGGTTGATTGTCTTCCAGGAGAGAAGTCAGGAAACAGTCAAACTCCACATGCTTATCTCCTTCAGGGCCATGTAAGTTGGATTTTCTGCTTAATAATTCTTTGCTTGAAGTTGGGACTTCATCTGATATATGTTCATTGCAGCCCATACCAGTTGTATCCCTGTGAACAGCTTCAGAAGCAGAGGCGGTCTCAGGTGTGATGTCTTGAATCTCACCATTTACATGATCAATATGGCGCCTACTTTCATTATATGAAGGGTTAGGCTCTTCTTTTATTCTATCAACTTCATGAAAAATATTAGAATGCACAACAGCAGTTTCCTGAGTATCTTTTCCTGCATATACACCATTTTCCTTTCCACTCTCCACATTTGTAAGAGACTTAACAGACATATCCAAAACAGTCTGACATTGATTCTCCAAACTATTACTCTTAGTGTCCAGATTCTGCATGTCCGACAAAGAATTATTTTTTTCAATAACTTCCTTGACACCATCAGTGGATGTGGCTTGAACTAAACCATTAGCAGATCTTTCACTGCAATATTTTAAAAGATTTTAACATATATTTCTTGTAAAAAGCAAGAAATCCAATAAATATCATCATAGAAACATATCAAATGCAAAAGTATACCTAGAATTAGGACCCCAGAGCTTTGGTGGACAAATTATAGCAGAAGCTTGTCCAGATACCTTATTCCTAGCTATTCCAGACAGATCTAACTGTAATAATATAAACATATCATTTTGCGGCTTTGTATGTGTCGATCATCAAAGTCAGAAAGAACTAAAGAGTATACCTTCTGTTCTGCTATAAAGTTGTATAATGGACTCTGAGGCAAGATAAAGAACATTCATATCACAAAGGCTGTGATAACATTTTACAAAATAACAATGAAATGGCATAATAGAAAAAATAACCTTAGGGGTACAATTAAAGTCCCCACAGATAACTACGGGAGCATCATCCCAGAGTTTAGAAACTGCGTTAGCCTTATCAAGTAGCACTCTAACCTGCTCCAAGTAAACATAAAGGCAAAAGCATTTACAAGAAGAATTTGAAATCATTTTTCAGACACAACAGTAGCTGATAGAGTTAGCTGCAGAGACCTGATATTACCAGTTCAAATAGCAAAAGAAACAGAGTCAAATGAGATGGGATATACTGTTCAACACTCACAGAAGTCAAATGGAGAGAACAGAAGTTATGCACATTCATTAATCAGTCAAATTGCATACATTTAAGGATCCTTAGTTCTTGCACTGACACACAGTATGCCTAAAACATAACATAGCAAGCAACCCTCCTACAGCATATCTAGATTCAATAAACTACAAACCAACATTTCAAATCAATGACTGGAATAAGTGATGAAAACATAATATTGCTGATGATATTAAAAAAGAAAAAATATCCTGTATCAGAGACCTAAGCCTCTAAGCTATGAATAGAAAAAGGATGAAAAGAAAACCAAAAAAGGGAAAAAAGAAAAATCAAACAACATTTTAAATGCAGAAAGCAGTGTCAATAGCCATCAAAGTGAAGAGCATTTTCATAACAATAGATGGTGATGCATAAAGACAGAATCAGATGAACAGAGAGCTTCATCATAACAGGAAATGTTATGTCAAGCAGGCAGTGCAAACCTGGCCAAGCTTGATTTCCCCCCTATTAGGATTGTAAAGCACATGAATGTTACAAACCACTACTTTTCTGGAGCCTGTCAAGCTGCAGAATGTCACATTTATGTTATATTGAGAACACAAAAACATCCCATGATAAAAAAAAATGAATAATAATTAAAAATGAAAAGAAAGTAATTAAGGCTAAGAATGCCTCAATTATTAAAAGAAAAGCTACAAGCGTCCTAAATTCAAAATACAATTAGTGATCAACTTTAAAAAAAAAAAAAAAAAAAAAAAAAAACCAACAACCTTGTGTACAATCCTAATGCTTTATGCCAACATAATAAAATACTCCCCAGATTAAAAAAGACTATCCAAGCCTTTTAAGCCAGATTACAGTTATGTTGACCTTAATTGAAACTACATTCCAATGATTCATTTTAACTATATGCCATTTAATTTTACAAAAATTGTAAAATAATTTTCTGCATGTAATAGTAATTTTCCTTGATCTTTTGCAAAAGCGTTTCTTCTCTCTGTGGGACAGGGGAGCCACTAGATGAGATAGGTCTTTCTTAAAAGGGAGATTGTGGTTTTCTTAATGTTGAACTTGAAACAACCAGAAGGCAGCACTTTCACCGTATGATACATAGATACTCTAAACGGCTGTAGTACCTGGCTGTTAGTCTTGCACAAGAACTTATAGGGCATTTATTTCATTTTACGATCGAAGTAGTCAAATGCATCCATGGTGGCAACATAGCACCAGAGCAGGGTGGAGTGGCTTGAAGCTTCTATAGGGTGCCAGGTCAACATGTTTTTGGGTCACAGTTGTGATTACAGCTGATATAGTGGCAAAGCATAGCTGTCGCGGCCATAATACTCAAAACAAAATTTCATCTTTGCCCCCATCTTCTGAGTCTTCCTCTTTTAAGCATTTTCATGTTTTCCCCTTCAATTATGGCATTAGAAACATAACAGGGATTGAAACCCTTATCATTCATGCAAAAAACACATAATTTGACATGTTTCAAATCAACCTATAACCCACTGCTTCCCAGCATCATTTGTGACCACGCCAGGCAATTTCTGAAACCCACTATTTACCAGCATTGCTCACCCTCAAGTCCCTGTTCCTTTTCCAACACATCCAAGAGTCTTTTTCCATGCATGTATATGTTCAATTTTTTTTTTTTTTTATTTTTGTGTGTGTGTTTATGTTCCTCACATTCACAGCCTCCCCGTTATTTTTTTCCTATCATCTTCCTTTTTTATGGTCATTGTGTGTTTAAATATGATTTTGGATTATTAATTATGGGTCTAACTTTTATTTTGGATATATTTATATGTATATAAATCATTTGTCTAGCATTTATAATCTTTGCCTTTAACATAGTGGCTATCTCACTATAATGTATTCAGGGTTGACCATTCCATGCCACTACTCAGTTTTGATAACTAGCATATGCATGGGTACCCTTACACTTCTCTAAAACAGGAATATAAAAGAAGAAATATACAAATCAAACTAGCCTAAGAAAAAAAGTGTAATTACCTGGATGGCAGAGATCCATTTTGATTAATAGACTGCAGGAAGAAAATATTGGAAAGAAATCCAAGCACATAAATTATGCGGTGAAAGATAATTGAATATTCTCAGTTTATCTCAGCAGAAGTTGAACAAGGCAAGGGTAGTAGAGAGTATTATGTACCTCTAGTACACATATTTGAGCAACATTATCTCTAAGTCCAAGCTTATTAAACTCAATGAATTCTTCATACAACAAATTGAACCTATGATATATCACAGTAATGAGCTTACGAAGTGCAAAATACAGAAAATAGCAAACAAAAGTGCCCAGGAAGCATCAGGGCAGGTTCCCCCACCCCCAAAAAAATATATATGGGAAAAGCATTATGTAACATACAGATACAATGCCCAATAACAGCAAAAATTAAACAGTGGAATCAAGTATCAACAAGATCATATGACAATAATATATACAAAGAAAATACCAACAAAATTTTCTAAATTTATAAATAATATGAGCCAAATAAATAAGTGTAAGCCATCAAACATACAAAAAAAATTGCAAAAGATACACATAATTTTTCATGGCAAAAAATAAGCTTAACAAAACTATATGTGCATGAATACTGTGAATGTTTAATCACAATTTAAGAAAATAAATCCCACTAAGATAAGTGGCAAGTAGCATCCAGTGCAAAACAAAGCCGTAGAGAACCTTGATGTTTGCCAAAAGATTGCACAGCCATCAACTGGATTCCCTGTTCGCATCTATAAGTAGAAAGAATGCTATTAGACTTCATAATGCAATAGAACTGTTTATTTTTCTTTCAAAAATTAATTGAATAATCAGTGAAAATGAGGACAATCATATGAAAAGAAAAACAAAAATAATACTGAAAAATAATCACACTGAAGATAGGACACAATTACAACTCATTGATTATACTGGAGAAAAGTGGAAATGTAGCCAATCAATCAACTAAATGATGCGGCACAGATAAACAAATTGCTCATCAAGTAACAGTACACTCCTCTGTTTAACTAGCTAATGCCAGCTTCTACTACACAAGATGACAGAGACCTGTAATGCCAGATGGGAGGTACATTTATATATTTTTAAATCTTAATGGTAAACAACACCATGTAATCTTTGATATTCTGAATTTCTGATCATTCCATAAACGCAAAAACACAGTCATTTGTTTAAAAATAGCTTCTATAAAAATTCATACTAGAAGTCTAGAACAGAAACAAAACCTGAAACAAACTGATGCCAATTGCACAAGCAACATTGAACAAAATATGGATGCATATGCCATGTAACATTAAGACAAAGACTTCTAACCCACCTTCCAAATGCCAAGGTATCCCTTAAGCTTCAACTCATCTGCCAACTCATGAAATCTATCAACCTCCTGGAAGTGATAATTCAAAATCAAAAGGGAATATTCTTTATAATTTTATGATCAATAATATTTTCCAAGAGCAGTATACCAGATACACATAACACAATAAAAAATAATAATTACATGATCAGCAAAGAGGCCTGAAAAAAAATATATTAAAATTCCAAAGACATAAATCTTACCAAGATGTTAATGCAACCAAAAGAACTTGTTTGGAAAAATGTAAAGCAATTTTCAGAAAATGAGATAGTGATGAGATGTAAAGTCCATGTTTTCCATTAACAATTATAAGTGAAGAATCTCTTTTACAATATGTCATTATCTTTAAATACAATTGCCAAGAACAACATACATGATTCATATCATAATTATCACACGAGCCAAACAAAATTTTACAACAAGTATGATCACAAACATGTTAAACGTTCATGCTTAAGCAAAGAATAAGCATTGTGGTGTAATATGTAACATAATTAATACAAACCTGTAAACACATGATATCAGCAGACCACAACCCCAGCTCAAAAATTATGTTTCTCTTTCTCCACTGCCAGTCCAACATGTATCGAGGTATGTGAAAATAAAGTTTGTTCCGGTGGTCCAATGCAAGGTAGTCAGCCAATATATTATAGGAAAGAACTTTAAACCTCTCTGTTGAGCACAGGAAAAAATTCCCAAGCTAAATTAGTCTGATGATATATGATTCCAAAACAACCAATTATGAGCAACAAAGAGTGGAAGGGGGAGTACTGATAAATACTCAGCCTCAAGCCTATCCTCCTGTCACTTGCCAAATTATCAAAAAGTTTTACAATATTTTCATTTATGCAGATTCAGTTCCAACTTTGCGCACACTTTTATTATAAGATTGAAATTTTGAACCTCACAGCGCTTCTCCCTGTGACACACCCTCATCTTTGAATCAAATCCACCAAATTCACAAGCGAAGCCTCACTCATCAATCCATGATCTGAAAATTTTGTTCTTTACTGACACTTGATTTCTTTAATATACAAAAATTAACACCCAAATTCTCAAAAGCAGGCGATTGCCCCATGATAACTCATATTTAACCACTCACCATTACTTGTTCATAATTTGACACATTCAACAAAACAATATAGCAACATCAGGAATTCAAACATTCATATTCAGGCTATGTCAAAAATCACTTCTTCCTAAACCCTAAGGTTGAAACCGAAGTCATAATCATATAGCATAAGAGTGAAGTTACCACAATGAGGGGGAGGCGGCGGCGTCAGAGCAAGCTCCCAGTCTCGATAATCCGGAGGCCGAGGCCGAATATGGGGTGGCGGACGAAACGCTTGTCGGTTATCAGACGGCGGAGGCGGCCGAAACTGCGGCGGAGGGTGACGGAACTGAGGTTTGTGATGCTGCGGCGGAGAAGGAGCCCTCGGGTTATAAGGTGGATTCTGATGGTGCTGCGTTTGGTTCGCGAAGCTTCCTCTCTCGCCTCGCCGGAATCCTAAATTGGCGTCACGAACTGACTGGAAGTGCGCGTCGCCGGTAACGAACTGGCCTCTCCCACCGGAGTACAAGCGGCCGGAGAATCCTCTTCCGCGTCCTCGTTGCTGCGAAAAAATAAAAGAATGAGCTTTGAAATTACTGAGCGCATTGGTTACTATGATAAGCACGTGTGTATGCATCAGGAAGAAAGAGAGAGAGAGAACATGAGAGCTTGAAGACATTGTGATGGCGGTGCCTGTGCCGGCGTCGGTGGCTGTGGCGGCGAGGAAGTGGATGGTGGGAGGACTGCGTCGCATTGTTGGAGGAAGAGAATCAAGCGAGTGCGAGTGCACGCGAGTAAATGAGCTGGCGCGTTCATGCACGTTCGTTGATGTGACGCGTGCGTGGCTTTACTTACCACGTGGCAGTGCTTAAAAGAGGAAAAATAATATCAACAAAGTAGTCTTACTCTTTTAAAAATGCTTATATGATATGGTATCATTCAACGGTTTATATTTTTAAAATTAATAAGTCTGATTCTTTTATTATTTTAAAAATTAAAAAGTATTAATATTTTTATTTTAAATAATTAATTATATTCTTTATTGATATAAAATTAACGACAGAAATAATTGTTCTATTTATAAGAAACGATATCTAATTCATTCAATTATAAAGATATAATAGATTTTACTTTTTTTTATTATAAAATTATTATAAATTTACCTGAATATAACATTTTTTTTAAAAGAATATTAGTAATAATTTTACATGTCGGTTGATTAGTTATTGATAAAATTTGTCATTGACAATTTAAGATAACAAAAATAATTTTTTTTTAGTACTAAAAATTGTCATTTGTGAGATTTAAAAAAAATTAAAAAAATACACTAAAATTATTATTAGCAACTTTTGACCATCAAAAAAGATTTTACTTTTTAAAAGTCACTTTTTTAACCAATAAAAATTATTAAAAAATATTATTTAATAATAAATCGCTAATGAAAATTTTTAAAGATGAGACTATAAATACTGTAATTTTTATTGATAGCAAGTTGCTTTTGAAAGGTTTTCAAACACTTGTTACTCCTATATTTTGAATCTTGTGTTTGTTAGAAGAAAAAATAAGTACGATAGTTGTAGTTTATTTTAATGGTGAGATTGTACTAAACACAAGTGAAAGTGTAACATTTACATGTGAAAAACTAATATGTCTGTATAGTTCATATAATATATCATCTGAAAATTTAAAATATTGGCTTTGTCAATATATAGAAGTCTTGTTTTCAAAAAATTATGGAAAGTATTATGTATTGATGTCTAGTCTTGATTTTTGGCAGTTTCATCTAATATCATACAATTTCAATAACCAACGAAAACAAGTATTTCAGATATATGCAATGTTATCCTCCAAGTAGTACCATTGAGTTATATATTGTTTTAAAAATAATGAGGTTCAAGAAGAATATGCAAGTATCATGTTAAGCACAGAGATAGAATGGGAACACAACAATACTAAAAGTGATAATAACGACTTTGAAGGAGAATATAAAAGCGATGAGGATTTTGATAATGATGAGGAGCCCCATCTAGTTGGGTAACATCCATTTGCGTAGTCACCCTTCTTGTATGATTTAGATCTTAATGTTGTGAATGCTTCTGAGTTTCTAAAGTATGCAAACTTAGGTATGTGAAATTTATAATTATGTTAGTGAATTTAATTTTAGTTCTATTAATTAGTTTATGTTCTCTATTGGTATGTGACACAGAAATAGATGGTGAATTATATGTTGGAAGGCAATTCAATGACAAAGAAGTTGTTATACAAACAATAAAGCATTACTGTATGTTGAAAGGGCAAAATACAAAGTGTTTGAGTCAGAATCAAATATATTTTATTGCAAATATGTAAGGTATGACATAGATTGCAAGTGGTTTTTTTGAGCTAGTTTCAAGAAAAATGAGTATTTTTGGGAAATTAGAAAATATAACATCCACACACTTGTACCAATGAAAGCATTTCTCAAGGTCATAAAAAGTTAGATACAAACACAATTGCAGAATATATAAAACCAATGGTAGAATTTGATCTTTCTTTTAAAAAATAAAACTAGTGATTGGGGAGATTCAGCCTCGATTTGGGTACGCGATAACATATTGGAAAGCATGGTTAGCAAAGTAGAAGGTAGTCGAGAAAACATTTGGTCAGTGAAAAGTCTCATTTGAAGCTTTGCCACAATGATGTGTAGCAATATGTGATGTTGTTCAAGGATCTATTATTTAAGTAGATGTTGCAAAGGCTTATCGCAATAATGAATTGGTTCCTAATGTTCAAATATTACGTCAAGTGTTTGAGGTTTTGATCATTGCATTAGACCATTCTAACATTGCAAGCCACTTGTACAGACTGATGGAACACATTTATATGGTAAATACAAGAAAGTTCTACTTGTGATAGTTACAAAAGATGGAAATCAAAATAAATTACCGATTACTTTCGCTATTGTTGAGGGTGAGACCGAGATGCTTTGCATTTTTTCTTGAAAATTTACAAAAATACGTCGTTACTAAAGATGACGTTGACATTATTTTTTATCGTCATAAGTCAATTAATGTAACAATAAGAAGAAACAATGGACAATGAGAACATCTAAGAGCATTCCACATGTATTATATAAGGCATATTGCTGCAAATTTCTTACAAAGATTCAAGGCTTCCTACTTGCATAAACTTGTGGTCTGTTTGGATAATAAACCTCATTTCTATATTTGAAATATAACAAAAAAACATATTACTAGATGACATTCTCTATACTTAATGAATTTGAATTTGTTATTTATAGGTTACTCAAGGACCGAGTGTGAATTTAATATTCAATATAAGCAAATACAAGAACATGAACAGATCTTTATAGATTGACTTAATGAAATTTCATGAGAAAAGTGAGTTTTAGCATTTGATGGCAAACATTGATGAATCATATGACCACAAATATCGTTGAATGCATTAATTCAGTATTAAATGGTGTTTGCAATTTGCCTATTACCACACTTATTAGAGCCACTTATTTCTAATTGACACAATTATTTGCACATAAAGGGAGGAGGCTTATGTACGAAAAAATGTTGGACATTTTTTCTATGAAAATATTACAAGTCATCTTCAATTAAACGAGCATGGCTCAAGAAACTTTCGTGTCACTCAATTTGATAGATGGAATGAGGCTTTTCATGTTTAAGATTTATCCAATAGCTAGGAATACAGAGTTCATATGAGACAAAATTATTGTAATTATAGAAATACGTAGACTGATAGATATTCATGTCGTCACATGATTATTGTTTGTTACAGTAAAACATTGATTAACGTGCTTACGTAAATGAAGTCTATAGATTAATGAAGTTTGCAAAGTCTACAAGAAGGAATTTGGGGTTGTCAGGAGCAAATCCAAGTGGCACAAATATCGAGGTCTCAAACTTTGTCCTAATCCTACCTTAAAGCATACTTTAAAAGGTCATCTGAAATCAACTTGTTTTCTTAACGAAATAGATATGCAACAAATGAGGTGACCACTACACTGTATTATTTACTGATGCAACAATCATAGTTATAAGCGTTGTTCTAATACTCGTGGCCCTAATTCATAGTATGAAGTAGTGATGCTTTACTTGTTCTTATGTTGTTGTTTTTTAACATTAACGTGACTATCTTTTATATTAATATGTTATTATTGGTATATTGTAATTTTTTTACTTAACGAATGTTGTTAATTTACTATTAAACCTTTTATATTTTAATTACTTACTTAAAGTTATTTTGCTAAAAAAAGTACATTAATAATAATTAAATAAATAAGAATGTATTCAAGAGAATAAGCATATACTTTAATTTCACCCTTAATAAAATACTTCATTAATATCATTACAATAGGAATTACTAAATCCTAAGTATTCAAACATATTTAGAAACATATAAATTACTAATACATAAATTAAATTACATATTACTAATAAGATTATCCTCTTTTTTCCTTTTTTCTTCTTGATTAGTGAAGGGTTATATCTATCTAGAGCATGTGTAAAGGGACATAACATGCGGGAAAGTCCCTTTATATTTCTGGTTGACTTGTATCATCTTCTAAACGTTGAGTTTCTATGTCCTCATTTGTTGCATCCATATATGCTATAAGTTCAAGCTCTAATGCATGCATGGATGGTTGGGTAAATGAGTATTCCTATTACATCAAATCCCACAAGCTGATTGGCATAAACCATTGCGGTGGAATAGCATCATACACTAGTATCACAAGTTGTGGTTGATACACATCCTCCTGATATATAGAAACATCTTTCATAGTTATTTCCTCATTTAGGTCAAAGTTAAGAGGTGGATTGCTTTGGGAAGGTGAAGTATCATCTACTACAAAACCATATGTTGAAATAAATCCATAAGAAATTCCACTGGTACTACTGTAATTAACTAACCTTTGACCTTGTTCCTCTCTGCTTCTTGGACCACAACTAACATTTCTCCTATGTACAGACATATGTCCTTGTTGTGATTGTGGTGGTTATTCATCCCATTGAAAAGGTTGACACTCATTCTTTTGCGGTGGCTAATAATACTCTTAATTTGATTGTAAAGAAGCTGGTGGAATCCCTTGTGGCTAGATAGGTAGTGCATCCATGGGAATCTCTTTATGCTCAGAAATTGTTGGTTCCATAGGCAACATTTCTTGTTAAGGTGTTGGGCTTTCATATGTGGGGATAACCACAATCAATTTATTGCATACAATATGTACCATGCCAAATATTCATTACAAGGATAGAAATTTTGAGTTGGGACTCCTTCTAAGATATGTTTATTTCAATGCTCTCATATTGTCACTCAATCATCATGTATAAGTGTCCAATTCTTTGATTTACCCTATGTAAGTCTCTTTTATGGACTCCCTCAAGTTGTTGGGGCTGAAGAGGAATAGGTTAAGTTTATCCAAATTGAAGCATTACATGATTAGCTGCATGTCGCTTTATAACTTCAAAACATATCAAAGGACTAAATGTTGACCACACTAGTCATTCACGCATCACTTCATCTGGAATTATTACATTAATTTTCATTATCCACATATGGTGTCCATAAAATTTGCAATAAATAAAATGATATTAGTGTTATAATCATTAAGGAAAGTTTTTTTTTTTTAGAGATTTATCTAACATATGAATAAGAATTAATAATAATGTTTACCTCATGAATACTCATTTGATTCAATGCTAATATGATATTTCCAAGATTCTTAAACGGAATATTTGCTGGATATTGCAAGTGTCTTTATCTAAGAGCAAGTAGAAATATTATTGGTTCACCTGGGATTGGAGCTAATTGTGGCAGCCAATGTCA